TGGGATCTGCTGCTCAGCCAGTTCTCTTATTTCAAAAACAGGTGTGCTTTTTTTTTTGCTTAATGTTTTTATTCCTTGTCTAACAATCTTTTAGACTGTCTAACCTTTATGACTTTGAGTAAGAGTGGAAACAGGAAAATTTAGAAGCATCAGAATGTTAGATGCTGTTCTTGTAGGTCACGTGGCATAAACTTTCTCAAATATTCCCCTTTTCAAATACTTTACAGTTATTATCTCTTTAGTTACTCTGTAACGGCTAGAGTGGTGTAAGCATAGAGGATTTGGTCATACAGCTGTAATTGTCCTAGACACTTCTTCACACAACTCTCTCTGGCACCCAGGCACAGGACCCAGGGAATGGGCTGGAGTTGTGTCAGGGGAGGGTTAGGCTGGAGATTAGCAAATGGTTCTTCCCCCAGAGGTGTTTGGGCACTGAACAGCTCCCAGGGCAGTGGGCACAGCCCCAAGGCTGACAGAGCTCCAGAGGTGTTTGGCCAATGCTCTCAGGCACAGGGTGTGATTGTCAGGGATGTCCTGTGCAGGGCCAGGGGTTGGACTGGATGATCCTCAAGGGTCCCTTCCAACTCTGATTATTCTGTGATTCTTTGCTGAGGAACACTTGCTCACAGAACCTCCTGCCCCTTTATGTTTATTTAAGTTTGGAGCAGCTCAGAGGTTAGTATTTAGGGATATGTTTTTACATTAGACCATAGAATCATCAAGGTTGGAGGAGACCTATAAGATCATCGAGTCCAACCATTAACCTGTCACTGCTGGAACCCCTAAACCCTAAACCAGGTCCTCCAGTGCCAGATCCAGACACCTCTTCAACACTTCCAGGGATGGTGACTCCACCACCTCCCTGGGCAATATCCCAGTGCTTCAACACCCTGACAGAGAAAGCACTTCTCCTAACATCTACTCTGAATCTCCTCTGTCTCAGCTTATGAGCTTATGATTGTACTTTAAATTCATTTTCACTACTCATGTCTTGGATATTCTATTTTGGATCATCTAGACTGTGTGTCTGAGGATTTTCTGATTTGTGTTTTCAGCGTTACAGCGGTGGAAGGTTTAAGGAAAAGGCCATTGATTGTATTTGATGGCAATTCAACAAGTACAAGCATAAAGGTGAAGAAGACAGAGAACGGAGCTGCTGATCGCCTGAAACCTCCTCCTGCTGGAAGCACCACCAACACTGTCAGAAGATTATCAGCCCCTTCAAATGCCTCCACATACATTTCAGCCTCCAGTTTATCCGAGGACGCTAAACTGGGAATGAGGAACAGTGAGGCTAAGCAAAACAATATTTCAAAGACTGACAGCAATGTGTTGGCTAGTCTGAAGGTCTACCCTTTGACTCCAATAGCAGGAACTACTGTTGTGAAGTTGAAGAGGTCTGTTCCAAAGGAGGAATCTGATTTGCCGGTATGTTTGTTCAGTATCTTGTTTTGCAGCTTTATTTTTTAATTGGATCTTGCAGGAACCAAAGGTCAAACAGATGTTGAAGTAATGGTAGAGTATTTAGAAACAGACAAACGTGTGGCTGGCTTGGGAAGGATTAGAAGGAAATAAATGAAGTATTTTGTACTTGTCCATGGGAAGCTTCTGTGTGAGAGAGGCAACTCCACAGAAAACATACGTGTAACTTTGAAATGAGTAAGTAGGTAATAGTTAAGGTGGTGCTGGCAGCAGTCAAATAAAATTCAAACTAAATAATCATACTGATCGGTCTGAGAGAAAGAACAGGTATTGTAGAACAGCGTGAACAGACTTGAAGGGAGGACAAGTGATCTGTTTTCTACAGCAGGGAAGAAAAAATATGGAAAGGTTTGTAACAATCATACCTAAATGGTTGAGTAGGACCAGCTTTCATTTTTCAAAGTGAAGAAAATGTTACAGAAACTGGAGTGAGATGCTGAGACCA